GCCTGTACCGCAGTTCTGTATGAACAAATAAATAAATCTTAAAAAAAAAAAAATTGCTTCACTATTAGTTAGAAAGAAAAATACTAAATTTAGTAACATAAATATAATACTACTATTATATTTATATTTATAATAATACTATTTTTATTTCTAGGCAAATCTGGATTTTTATAGCAAGTACAGGATTTTTCAAGTTATTACAAAACTAATCACTGCAATATAATCACTGGCATAAAACAGAGGAAAAATAGTTCTATGCTGAAGAAATGTTGACATAATGCAACTTTATTAAACATGCCTACCTTTTCCTCCAGCTTCTTCTTTTCTTCACCAAATTGATTTATTCTTTGTTTGAGAAATTGATTGAGCTGTAACACCTCCTTCTCAGTAGACACAAGCTTTTGCTCAAGTTCCTCTTGCTGGGAATGGGATACTGACTGATCTGAAAATGAAGCCTGTAGTGAAGTGTTCTCAAACTGTGGCTATTGGTAAAGAAAAAAAATGTAACAGGTAAAACCTTAACAGTTTACTTTCTTAAAAAAAAATGAGAGATAAGTAACAGCACAAAAGTACAAACAGGCTGTAGCAACAGTCATGTCATGGTGTAAATCCTACTCTGCCATAATCTGACTAAGGCCCATGATTAAATCAAATGACATGCTAACACCAGGTCTCAGTCTTCTCCTCATTAAAAGAAAACTAAGGAAAATCTTCAAGCATTTTTGTTTATTCGTTTTTAAGACTAGCAAAAACATATAAAATGTCCAGGATAAACCAGAAGCTAAATAAAAGGTAGTTACTAGTTCTTTAAAACATACAGTTACATATATAAAAGGAACTTTATAGAGAAGTGAAAGTTCTAGGAGAAGAAAACCTAAAGAAAAATTGTATCATCGGTGATCATTTTCTGCTAAGAGTAACACATTAAGTATTAATAGATGTTTTCACCTAACTAGAAAGTAAGATATTCTGTCCATTTTGGTTGCTTATATATTTTTATCTCCTGAACAGTGACTGGCAAAAAACAAGTGCTCAAAACTCTACAGTTGAATGAATAAATGTACTATTGCTGCCAAACAAGGCTTTGTAGGAAATTCAGATAAGATCTTTTCTTTCTTTATGTCCCTGCAGCATTACAATCTGGAAATAACAAGTATTGCCTCAGAAAAATTAGAATGTGATAAGTGCTATAAAACTTCAATAAAATAATGTTAAAGTAAAGAAACAGATTTTTCCCCCATTTATTTAACAAAATAATAGTTGTTTACTGAGGATTCAACAATCAATACAACAATGCATCGTCAGTTCAATAATGTATTAAAAAAAAGAGTGAATATTGTCTAGTGCTAAGATTGTTGTATATATAGTAAAGTACTACAGGAAGCATTTAAAGAAATGAACTTTAAGTAGACCTGGAACTCAAAGTTGTGAAAAGACAGAGCTGAAGCACAATTAATATATACAACATACCTCCTGAGAATATTTCAAAGATGACAGATTCAGGCACTGTCCTTTACAAAATCATAGTCTAGCTAGCATAAGAAAAATTATAATATGGATAATTATATATAGAACCAAATGTAATATCATAGCCAAAGGAAAAAATATATATAGGCAGGAATGCTGGAATTTTCTGACCAGAATTTTTTTAAACTATTAGTATGCTAAGGGCTTAACTACTCGAGTAGACAACATGCAAGAAGAGATGGATAATATAAGGACAGAGATGGTAATTCTAAGAAGAATTTAAAAAATTCTGGAGATCAAAACCACTATATTAGAAAAGAAGAACGTCTTCAATAGGCTATCAGTAGACTAAACATGACTCAGTAAACCATTTCTGAGCTTGAGGATATGAGGAAAGAAACTTCCAAAATGAAAACACTAAGTGAAGCAGGGCTGAATAAACAGAAGAGAATATGTAGAAACTGTGACATAACTGCAACTGATAACACTGAAAGGAGGCAAAGGAGAGAAATGAACAGAAACAATATCTGAAATAACAATCGAGAATTTCCCAAATTCTGAGATGCCACACCACAGACTCAATAAGCTAATAGAATATAAAAAATGAAAAATGCTAAGAGCTAAATGTAGGCATAGCATATCAAAAAATTCTCAAAATCAAAGGTAAAGAAAAAAAAACAAAAAACTTGAAAGAAGCCAGAGGAAAAAAATAGAGGTTACTTGGAGATAGCAAAAATAAGTTTGGTCCAACATCTCAACACCATGTAAGCAAGAACTTGCTTGTGAAATATTTTAAATGGTGAGAGAAAACCCCTCTAATCTAAAAATCTGTATGCTCTAGATTTATCCTTCAAAAATAAAACATAAACAAAAGCTTTCTTAGGCAAAATCTGAGGGGATTAGTTGCAAGTAGACTTGCCCTATAAGAATGCTAAAATTTCTTAAGAAAGGAGGGAACTATTCAGGCAGTATGTACAGACAGAGAAGTATGGATATGGGCAGTGGTGCTAACTTCACAATGTTATGAAAGCATTTAATACCACTGAATCGAACACTTAGAATGATTTAAGATGGTAAACTTCAAATATGTATTAAACATATATGTATATATTATATATGCACAATAAAAAAGAATCAAAAACTACCCCCTTTCAAAGAAAAGTTTCCCACCCCAACATTTATGTAAAATTACTAGAAGGACAAAAATCTCAGACTCAGCTTCCTAACACTGTGTTAACCTGGCTACTTGCAGGGAAGGGGGGGAAGGAGGAGTTTGCACTGGTGGTAGCAAATAAAGGCCTGAACAAGCACTCTGGACAGCAACTTGGCAACACCCAAGAAAATTCACTTACACAACAGGTAAAAATTTCACTTCTGAGAATTTCATGTACAAAAATAAATGCACATGAGCAAAAAAATGTTTTTAAAAGGTTATTCTTCACAACTTTATAATACCCCAAACTAGAAACAAAGCAAATTTTGAGAAGGGGCATGCTGTCTTCACAAAATGGGAAATCAAACAAATGAAAAGGACTACTGCTTATGAGATGTGCAAGTAATCACTGCTATTTTACATGCATATTCACTACATAGAGGAAAAAAGTAAGGTGCTGAGTAATTATGGATTTTTTTTTTGTTTTTTTTTGTTTTTGTTTTGGTTTGGTAAAGGTGGAGGGATACAATATATTTATGTCAGCTCTGAAAGAGTATATCAGAAACTGAGAGTAGTAGTTTCTATATGTGTATGTATACAGTTTGTACAGGACAGATGAAAGGGCGTATTTGGATATCTTTTACTACATATAAAAATAAGATCCATGTGACCAGATTGTTAATTCAAATAGTATGTCTTAACCTTACCAAGTAAGTAAGCATATATCATTTATAAACACTTTATTAATAAGATGACAAAAATCCTCTGTAATCTTACCTGCAAGCTAGTCACATAAGCATCCTCACAATTGACATAATGGCCTAACATTGCATGTTGTGCCCGTAATTCATTATCCCTTATCCTTTCATGTAGGTGGGTAATTTGTTGCTTCTGTCTGCAAAATATCAATTGAGGTCACATTATATACATACCTTTCTAAGGACAGTTAAAAGCAGAACTTCTAGTATTCTAATAATGTGACAGTTAAAGGTAATCTTCTTAAAACTCATAATAGGAATATTTTAAAGACATTACCATGAGATATGTGAAATACAGAACAAGGCTACTTATACTATAGTGCACCCCTAGCACTTTATAGAATATAGTCTTTTATAGAATACTCTTCTTAGACTACAATGAAGTCATGCATTTTCCCTTTCTTCTTATTACCTAACATCCTCAGTCTGGAATGCATTTATATTAATATCTCCATTCACTCAAATACTGTTCAATACTAATACCACTAAAGCTTCTGAATTTCCTTACAGTGAAACTCAAAAGGTTTGTTTTTCTATATAAACTAGCTATCCAACTATTTTTGTACATGTATCATGAAGATGGCAAGTCATTTCAAACAAGGTGAATGAGATGATGATAAAAAAACAGACTAACTGGTCAATACTCTGTGCTGATGGTGGTTCTTATAAGGACTGGGAGGAACAGACATGAGACATCAATTTATTCATAAGGATCTACTTCTAAAGTAGCAATAGAACATACAAAGGGATTTGCTTTAAGCTTCATTTCTACATGCCGTAAACATTTATTAAATGAGAAAAAAATAGACTCACCGATCAATTACAATTTCTTTCTGCCTCAGTAGTCCTTCTTTTATTTTCAGCATTGATTCCCACTTACTGAAGTCCTGATAGCCAGAAGGTGAGTAACTTTGACGAGATGATCCAGTCAAAACCTGCACAAATAGAGTTGTATAATTAGTATATTAAAAGTGGCCAAGGGCAATATTTGTCATCTAATATTTTCAATGTTGCTGTCAATAAAAAGCACAGAACTCTTCCTTTAATATTTTAAAAGACTATTTGAAGACACAATTATTACTACCAATAACCTTAGCAAGAGTACACAATTCACAGTCAATGTAAAACTAATCTATCACATTTCTGATTCTATTTATATGGTATCTGGAAAGAACAAAACTAGAAAGACAGTGATTGTATCAGTGACCATTGGGGTTTACTACAAAAAGGTAACTTTCTGGGGTTATGGAAAAGTGTTCAACTTGACTGCTGTGGTGTCATACACAACTTTGTTTTTCTCAAAACAAGAACTATTCATTTTAATACTGAACATTATTTAAGGTAGGTACACCTTAAACTTATGTAATGCTATGTTACTTCAACACAAAAATAGATACGTTTCTAAGCAATATCACAACAAAATTAACTTTCCTAAAATTAATTACAGCAAAATATTTACAAAAATATTTTAATAAAAGTGTTTAATAAAACAAACACAAAAAGAACTCACTGTGATAAAAGTGAAGCAACTAAATGGGTATCAGAAAAGAAACAGAAAATTGTGGTATGTAGATACAACATTACTATACAGCAATAAAACAGAATTATTATTTTTTGGAAGATTTATTTATTTATGTATACATGAAATGGGGCAAAGGCCAGGTATGCAGGGGGGTGGCGCAGGAAGGAGATGTGGTGAGGATTCACCAGAGAGAACGTGGAGTAGAACAGTCAGATCTACTGAAACACACTGCTGAGGGGAGCAGTGGGCAAGACGGGCGGTCTGCTGCACCATGTGAGTTAGCTACCTGGCCGGGGATCTAAACTCATATTGCAGTGGCTGGAGATAGCTTGATAGTGCTGAGAGTTTAACTCCTGTGCTAACCAAGAGGCCAATAGAATTATTATACTGCAACAATTATGGGTGAGATTCAGTTACGTTAGGTTAAACAAAAGAATTTAGACACAACAATACACATGCAACGAAACAGAGGAGTGTAAATGGGCAGAATGTGGGATGTTGCTATACAGACAGAGAAGAGGCATAAACAAGATTTATGGGGCAGTGAAAACTTTTATATCTCAACTTGAGTGGTGATTATAAGGGTATTTACATTACTATATAGAAATGAAGCTATTATTACATTTAACTCTATATATGTAATGCAGATTACATGACTCTATATATGAAAGACCACAGCAAAAACAAAATGTATCACCACAAGAAATATCTACATTTTCTTTCTGTTTTTACCTAAAAGTAGGACTAAGGGGAAATGAAGACCTTGCCTTCCAAGAGGGAACATTTAAATACTCAAAAATAAAATACACTGTCCTGGCAATAATTCCCTATCTCTTTATCACTTCAATGCTGTCCTACATAGCAAAATATCAAGAGCTAAAAGACTAATTGAAACAAATATTGTATACCAAAAATGTAAGAATAGAGTTGATAATGAAGGGTAGCCTAAAGCCACACCAAAATAAGACATTAGTTCAGGATATACTACCTTAAAACATGCCACTTTGACATGTTGATTATTTCAAAATGCAGGCACTTGAAAAACAACAAATACAGGGGAGGCTTTTCCTCCCCCCTCACTTGCCTAAGACAAATTCTCCAAGAACTCAACTGTTATAAAGGGGGTTCTTAGCTCAGGAGGGCATACCAGAAGCAGACACTAGATCCAAATAAACTACCAGACACTATCAGATCTCTCTCTAGTCTTGTGAAAACTCATCCTTCTTAAAAATCATTTACTTCCTAACCACCCACTGGCCTCTCTCTCTTCCTTGCCCTTTCCCTATTAAAATGGTAACTAATCAAAAATTCTAGTCTCCCCCTATAAGTGCTCCATTTTTTCTTGGGTATTTCCCATGTGTGCTGAGGTATGTATGTGAACTCTAATTTTCTCTGTTAAATCTGTCTTTTGTTACAAGTTCAGGGGAGGAGAGGTCATTTCCCCATATCCATATCTAGGTATAATAAAGTTGACACCAGGCAGATTAGTAGGAGAAAAGAATGTGTTTAATTATAGGAAGACTATATATGGATGTAGATTATACAGCCAATGGTGCAAAAGAGGCTGCAGGATAGGTGCATGCAGCTTCAAGGAGAATGGAAGACCCGCATGATGAGGAGAAGGTGACCTATATGGTAAAGACCAGTGTTCTGGAATTTGATGTTTATGTAGCCATATAGATAGGTCGGTTATTTATGGTAAAATTCTAATTCTGGATAATACCCTAATTTTCACTTTTCCAAGTAGCTGAGCAATGTTAAAAGTTGCTCATGAAGTCTGCAGGACCTTGATGGACCTGGGCTTAAAAATAAGCCATGTGCCAAAGTATACGAGGAGTGACAGCCTGCTGTGAACATCTAGGAGATGTCTACCTAAATATCATGGAGTCTCCCAAGAAATCAGAGGGGAAAAGGAAAATTATTTTTCATCCCCTTCAGCCTACAAGCTAGTCCCTTAGACTTGTCCATAATCTAGGAGAACAATGAGGCCTTCTATTAAGAGAGAAAACAAATCTTCTTTCTAAAATGAAAAAGAAGAAAATATTTCATTTTCAAATAACGTCCAAAAATTCTATAGGGACACACTTTTATCCCAAGTATTTAGAAAACAAGAATTTCTGTTCATTAAATCTCAACTAGTCACAAGAGGCTTATCATTTTGTGGCAGTTAAATGTCATAAAATTTACATTTTGAGTATGTTCTAGAAACAAAAATACAGTTCGATAGGTACTTAGTATACAGGGCCTCCCCAGTGGAACAACTAGTTAAGTCTCAACACTATTAGGTATCAGCAGCTACTGAGCACAAGATCTATCCCCAGCCAGGGAGCTACCCATATGGCACAGGAGACCTCTCCTGTCTCACCCACTGCTCCCTCAGCAGTCTGTTTCAGTAGATCTGCCTGTTCAGCTACCCAACTCTGTCTCTGGTGGATCCTATTACTCCTGTCTCCCCCGTACATCTGGCCTGCACCCCAGCTCTTCTATGCATTAATAAATATATCTTTTAAAAAAAACTGAATAAGACATACAGAAAAGATCTAATAATTCTGGTAAAAAAAAGGATCAAAGCTCACATATCATAAACATAGAAAACTGCTAATGTTATGCTGTTCTATTCAGAATTCTAAGCAGTCATGTTTCAACTTGACTGTAACCAATAAAAATAATCAAGGAGAACAGGATAACTTAAGATTATACAACTTATATAAAGCTTATGAATAATAAAACTAGACATGAACATGAAATCTCAACCGATAATTATAAAGGAATGTAACTGTATAAGCTAATTTGAAACATGGAATATAAATGGTGTCATCAACCTATTGAATATTTCAAAATCTGTACAGGTGAAACAAAGATACTTTTAACATGTCAGCATTTTCATACATATTTGGTAGTAAGCAAACTTACGGAGGGAAGGAAATACTTCATTTAGATATGTTATCCAAAATGCATAGAATAACCTAGCTGCAATGGTGGTATAAGATACCAAAAAAAAAGAGGTTTATTATCCAAAGAAGAAGAATAATTCTTTTGCATGTAAACCTTAAGTATCCAGATTTATAAACCACAAAACCAAATACAGATAGGCACCTCTTCTATTCTAATAACTGAGTAAGAACTACTGGCACCTACAACAATCCCAACTACATGCTTCTTAGATGAGATCCAGATGCTATGAAAGCTGCCAAAATATGTCACTTAATGGTCAAACATTTCTAAAATAAGCTTACTATATACTGCAGCTGAAAATAGTTCAAAATTCTTTGGCCTCAGACTGGACAAATACTGCTAAATTTAGATAATCTAATTGGAATACAACCTCTGCAGTTCTTCAAGTTTGTTATCTCTCCTTCATTTGCCTTTGTTCTTGGGCACATTCATCACTCACTACATGTCAAATAACACAACAAATCTTTCTCTGTTTCCTGGTATAGTTTATCTGAAGAGCTACTCTACAAGAGCCATAAAACCTAACCCAAAAGTAAACTCCCCATACATAACATAAAAATTAAAGAAAAATATAAATATGATTACTAAAAAAAAAATATACAATAAAATAGGATATATATCTTATATACCATGTTATTAGTAAAACAACTATGCATTTAATAAAAATCATATCTCGATCAAGCCAAAGTATTTTTATAGAGTATATTACGACATATTTTCTCTAACAAAATTAATATATATATATATATATAAATCTATTTATAACCTCTTCCTCAGAGTGACCCATCATAAACTAACTGGTGTGTATCTGGACTCTTGAAATTAAAATGATAGGAAAAACTGCTTTTAATGATCTCATTATTTTTTAAATTTGTCATTAACTCTATAGTATTCATCCTGCCAAACTAATAGTATGTTTTATTAAAATGACAATGCAAACACATGAGTTACTTCAATAGTAAAAGTTCCAGAGAAAAATGATAAGAAACTGTATTTGGTATCATAAATATAAATGTGCATGAAACTTTAAAAAACCCTGAGTATTAATGATTTCACCAGGATAAATAGCTAAATTGCTATGAATTTGATTTTTATCCCCTGGAAAAAGGGCCTACCCTTATGGTTTATATCCTATATTAGCAATGTCATGTTTGTTGGTTGGTTAAGTCAATAAGCAATAATCCACTCACGAAACATGATCTCATTATAGTTATAATATAAAAGTGACAGGGGAAAAGTTACATCTAACACTAAGGAGCAAATCGTTTTCCTTCAGCAAATCACTAAGAGGATTAAGAGAAAGGGAAAAAATTTAAAAAGACATGTAAGTCTTCAAATATAGCCATGAATTTTTCTTACAAAACAGAAAGTGCCTTTTCTAACACCTTTGCAGTTATAATTTACTTTAAAGAAATATATTAACAGTAAAAATTAATAATTTTTGCTAACTATACTTAA